GACATTCCCATAGAATTAAATGATTAATTACAACAATTGAAATTCTCCCAGTAGCCATCGAAGAGTTCTTTAGATAGCACAAATCTATTATGGGATGAGTTCCCAGTGTTATTTCCAGTTCAAAGTAAAGATTAATATTGCTGTTCTTAATGTAGTAATAAAAACTGTAAACTGTATTATGCAGCTGGTACCCTAATCATATAGTTTTCAAGAAAATATTATGACTATGTTGCTCCATATAAAGCAGAAATGAGGAACTTCTAGCAGGGCACATCCAATCAGTAGGCTTATTTCTCAACCCCACCTCTCCTTGTAGTCAAATTCTTATCTCTAAGCAGTTGCTGACTGAAGATAGCAAGTTTTTCCTTAACCTGGGCACAAATATGTGATTAGAAATAAGAGTGTTTTTGCTACTTCTGCCTGGAATCAATCTTTAAAAAGTTTCCAAGAGGCTTTAACTGCACAATAATTAAATATTTTGGAAGGAGGCAACATTTATGTACTTTTGTCAATAAAACTACATGGAAATAGCCAAAAAAATCACCAGCAGTTGAAGTTATCTTAAAGACATTTTTAAAAAGGCCTTACAGGCCATGTTGGGAAGGAAGTCCCAATGAAAAATGCCCCTTTTTGATGAAATTAGGCTTTTTAAAAAAAAAAAAAAAAACTCAATTGGGGCAGCTTAAAAACACATGGCAAGGAAATGACTACTTGCCTTTTATCAATGGCAGCCTAAAACCGCCATTACTCCCAACTGAGGTTCTTAAAAACCTAATTGTTTTTAGAGTACAGTCAAGTTATTTTTTTTTCTGCGTAGGGAGCCCTAATAGTTTGGGGAGAAGTGTATCAATACTTGGACAGGATAAAACTGAAAAAATGGAAAGCAAGAAGGGTGGAGTTTACATATAACTTCATAAAAATATATTTGGAGCTCTATGTCTATTGGCCCAGCTCACCCACTCTGTCTAAACAATGGCCCTACCTAATCCTGGGATGGCATTCTGGCAAGTGATACTATCCATTCCTGACAGTTTGGTCCTTGGCCCAAATAGATTCTTCTCTCAAGTTTAATTGCTGAATTAATAAATTTAGTTTGAACATCTTCAAGATCATTTTGGGAGGATCCTCTGGAATGGATTATGGCAAATGGTTGGGAGATAAGAAAGCCCAATCATTTAAACAATACTGGATTTGAGTAAATCCTTCCTCTTCTGACCCATCAGTGAGAACATGTGATATTTTTATGGGTTTATACAAAATGAACTTCATGTTAATAAGCTGCATTAAAAAGTGCATTACCTACAACTATAACTTAACTAGTTCCCATAAATTCTCTACAAGCATGCAAATATTTTACTATAACAAAAATTTGAAATTAAGGAAAAGCTTATTTATTTTTAATTTTCTAAAGAGTATAATGTAGAAGAAGGAAGCAGCCTACAGGAAAAATATGTGGTGGGAGAAACTTCATGCTGCTTGCGTCTTCTAAATCTCCTGTTTAGTAAATTAAGAATAAACTTTCCCTTAATTTCAAAATTAAGTTGTAGCAAATTTATTTAAATTACTTAAAAATAGTTTAGAATATCATTTATTTTCTGTCTCAAAAACAAACCAATGTTACTTACAGGGTTGCAGATTTCAATCCATTCATTACTTTTTGACTCCACAAACTTGCCATCAATGAACAATTTGGTTGTTGGCTGTAGAATACAAAATGCTGGTTAATGCATATCCTAGTGTTACAAAAGCAAAATAAGATTGCTCCTTGCACTTAATGAAACTCATATTAATTCTATTTGTTCCTATTTGCTCAGAAATAGGACTCATTTTTTTTGGATTAATATTAATGAACCTCAAAATAAGTGGATCAAAAATTCCTGATAGTACAATCTGCAAAACTGTTAAAGCCATTTTTATTACAATAAACAATTAAATCCACTTTAGTTATTCTTCTTCTTTCTGTTGAGAAGAATATATTTTGCTCTAAGGCCAAATTATCCCAGACAAAGTGATATTTTCCTAGTCTTAAATGTTTTACTTTAAAGTTGACCAGAATGCTATTCTTCTCCACCTACAAACTGAGACAAATAATGCATAGTGGAGAAACAGCATATAAATTTATTCTGTTAATATTTGTTTTCTTTAAAAAAAATAACTTACCACTGAAGAAGAGGAAATAAATGATGAGGAATGCCAGTTGAAATTTGCCTTCCTCGAGATCTGTAAGGCAAAAAGCAAACAGAACCAACTAAGCACATCTATCCTACATTTCAAGAACAAATCCAGGTAACTGTGAAATTCACAATATAATTTGAAAGACAATACAATATAAAGGCAAGACTAAATCTCAAAAAGTTCCGTCATAAAATATTGCACTTACATTGACCACCAGGAGGCGTTGCATTACTTGTTTCATCTTTATTGGGAATTATCAGATGCTGGTAGTAAGTTTTTATAGGGTTCAAACCTTCTACTCACCTATGTTCATATTTTAAATGATTATATACAGTGTATTCACTTTAGGTGTATTCACTTTAGTCGTAATCCATGTGCTAATGCTTGGCAGTTGCAGTTATTTATCACTAAAGCAAGGTTTTGTATTGTCTGAGTAGCTATTGCTGTTTCTCTTTACTACTTTTTCTCATTGCAGAATGTAATATGAAAATATTGTAATATGAACAGGTCATTCTAGTTGAAGAAAATTGTGTAGGAAATTCACAAGTAAACAATTTCCAAGTACTTATTGACTAATTATATTTAAAACTTTTTCACCAAGATCACAGAGGCATATATGGAAATCTTCCTATATTTTATTCTCGCAATAGCAAGCTTGATAGCATACATGAACTCAAACCAATCCCATTCCAACATCTTAAATGCTTCGTATTGCATCTGACCTCTGTATCACAATAAATTAATAGATTATCACTTGGAAGAGACCTGACAGTTCAGGCCTATAGTCCATATGTTACTTCTTCACTTAACATTTCCTAGCAAAACAAAGCTAATACAGAAAACTGTATTGAATGGAGAAAACTCACAATGTTCTCTCTAGAAACACTGATTAACAATCACCACTACCATTTGCCCCCTTTCAAAAAACAGGGGTGATTTGGGGGACGTTTATCAACTTTTATCTCACTGTTTATATTCCTAAGATTTAAGAATCTTATTATCTCAAAACCTTTGCAAG